CTCACTCCTGGATGAGCGGTGAATTTGGCGGCATGCATCCACTGGATCAGACGGGACCTGACAGAAGATGGGACGTAAGAACGATTAGGCGGACCGGTACCTGGATCTGGTTCTGTGGCTAGGGCAGAGTTGATAAGATCCGTTATCTCCCAATTGACCACTCCAATGGTACATGAAGCTGGAAGGACAGGTTCAGGTGTCTCTGGATGATCGGCGGAGTAGAGACGAGAGAGAGAATCGGGCTTCACGTTCTTGGATCCAGGTCTGTAGGAAATTATAAGGTTGAAACGTGAGAAGAAGATTGACCACCTGGATTGGCGAGGATTTGCCTGCTTGGTTGACTGGATGTAAGCCAGGTTCTTGTGGTCTGTCCATACAAGAACCGGATGCTCAGCTCCCTCCAGCCAATTTCTCCATTCTTCCAACGCCAACTTAATAGCCAGGAGCTCTCGGTCACCCACGTCATAGTTCTGTTCTGCGGAAGAGAGTCTACGAGAGAAGAATGCACATGGGTGTATCTTCTGATCAGAGTCGAGCCTCTGGGAGAGAACCGCTCCAACCCCAGAATCAGAAGCATCCACCTCTAGGATGAACTGTTTTGTTGGGTCAGGTTGTATCAGAACGGGAGCTCTAGAAAACAAGGATTTGAGTTTCTCAAAGGCGGCTTGAGCTTCGGGAGTCCACTGAAAAGTTCGTTTAATGGAAGTCAGAGAGGTTAATGGAAGGGCGGTTTGACTGTAGTTTCTGATGAATCGACGATAGAAGTTAGCGAACCCTAAAAACCTCTGTAGCTGTTTTCGGTTTTCAGGAACTGGCCAGTCTAAAACTGCTTTGATCTTGTCTTCTGAAGGTTTTACCTGGCCGCCCTCGAGCACAAACCCCAAAAAGGTGACTGAAGGTTGATGGAATTCGCACTTCTCGGCTTTCACGAACAGTTTATTCTCCAGTAGTCTCTGTAAGACAAGACGGACATGTCTCTTGTGTTCCTGGAGGTCCTTGGAATAGATGAGAATGTCATCAATGTACACAAAAACAAACACGTTGAGGAAATCTCTGAGAACATCATTAACCAAAGCCTGAAAGCAGGCAGGAGCGTTTGTTAAACCGAAGGGCATCACCAGGTATTCGAATTGACCCAAGGGTGTCTTAAAGGCAGTTTTCCATTCATCACCCTCTCGTATCCTAAGGAGATGATAGGCGTTTCTTAAGTCCAGCTTGGAAAACACTGTTGCACCCTGTACAGGTTCAAAAGCAGAGGCGAGAAGAGGCAGTGGGTATTTATTTTTAATTGTGATCTGATTCAAACCTCGATAATCAATACAGGGTCTCAGGGAACCATCCTTCTTGCCAACGAAGAAGAAACCAGCGCCCAATGGAGAGGATGAAGGGCGAATTATTCCAGCAGCTAATGATTCGTTGATGTATTTTTCCATTGTTTCTCTTTCGGGCTTGGAAATGTTATACAACCTGCTGCTAGGAAGGGGTGCACCAGGTAAAAGTTCAATGGCGCAATCGTATGGTCTGTGTGGAGGTAGGGACGTCGCACTGACCTTACTGAAGACAGGGGCTAAGTCATGGTACTCAGAGGGAACTGAAGAAAGGTCAGGAGAGTCCATCTCCCCCCCACCACTAGGAGGCCCCACCACAGGGGCAGCAGAACGAAGGCAGGTTTCGTGGCACGTAGTGGACCATGATTCCAGAAGACGTTTAGTCCAATTAATGTGAGGGTTATGCTTCTCCAACCACTCGAACCCGAGGACCAGCGGGGAACATGCAGAGGGAAAAACAAAGAAAGTTATTGTCTCTCGGTGGTTACCTGACAGAAGTAGCTCGAGGGGCTTGGTTTGGTGGGTAACACGGTGGAGTCTTTTGCCGTCTATGGCGGACACACTGAGAGGCTGAGAGAGAGGAACGGTTTTAATCTGGAGTTGCTGGACAAGGTTAGAGTCGATTAGGTTACGCTCACAGCCTGAGTCGATGAAAGCGGAGAAAGAGAGACTTTGGTTATCACAGAAGAGCGTGGCTGGCAGCAACAAACGAGGAGATTTTATTGTATTAATTTGGCCCGCCAGACTCCTCAGATCCTCTGGCGGGCCCCGGCTTTTGATTTTGCCGGACAGGAGGCGATGAAGTGTCCACTCTCGCCACAGTAGATACATAGCTTACTTAGGAAACGCCTCTGTCTCTCCTCTGGAGTGAGCATAGTGTGTCCCACCTGCATAGGTTCAAAATCCCTTTCCCCCGAATGAGAGGCTTGAACGGGCAATGGTAGAGATTGGGACTTAGACCTCTGAGTGGGCATCTGCTCTGTAGAGGGAGAACAAACAGTCACATTAAGAGGGGCAGGAGAGAAATTGCTCAGCTTCTTAGAGCTGTTTCTGGCACGAATCCTATTATCAAGCCTAATGGAAAGGCGAATTAAATCCTCGAGGGAAGCTGGTTCGTCGAGGGTTGCTAGTTCATCTTTAATCTGTTCGTTTAGAGCCATGAAGAAGGCTCCCTTCAAGGCGCTTTGGTTCCATCCGGAAGCTGCCGCCTTAACCCGGAAGTTTATTGAAAAATCTGCCACCGATGAATTTCCTTGTTTAAGGCTGAAAAGAGCTCTGGAATCAATAGTTTGGTCAGTTTCCTGGTTGAATACCTGGGTAAATTCAGCAATGAAGTCAGAAAAACGGCAATTTAAACTGTCGTCAGTGGCAAATCTTGCCTGAGCCCAGTCCAAGGCTCTTCCTGTTAACTGAGAAAGAATGAACGTCATCTTCTTGTGATCTGTGGAAAAGCTACCAGGAGAGTTCTGAAAAATCAACCGACACTGGAATAAAAATCCTTTGCAATCTTTCATGTTACCGGAGAATTTCTCTGGAAGACTAGGGCGGAACTCTGATGACGTCACAGGTTGTGACCTCGGGGGAGGGACTGGACCCGGAAATGGTTGCTGAACAGATGCAGCATTAGCGCTATTCAGGAAGTTAGCACAACTCTGTAGCATTTGGTTATGAGTTCCAACTAGATGGTATAACTCACGGAGCGTTTGGGATTGTCCTTGTAGTTGAGCATCCTGTTCATCCAAACGACGGGTGAGGTGATCTGCTGGGCCTTGAGTTTGGCCGCAGTGTTCTGTCATGATGGGTTCTCAAATGGAGACCCAATTATGCAGAACACCACTAGACGGACACAAGGATGAAAGTTTAACACGTTTATTATGCACAACACACAGAATGTACTGATGACTGGTTCGGGCCTGGGTTCTGGTTTCACCGGAGTCTGCGTGAGAGACAGAGCGGTTAAGGACTGCTGACAGGATTTGATTTCCAAGTGAGCTCTGATGTACCTTGAGGGTTCTTGAGGTTCTCTTTGGGAGAGTCACTGTTGGTTCTGGAGAGGTGTATATCAGCAGAGTCCGTTAGCTGCTTCAGCGTCTCACGTCTAGCTTGAACAGACCTTAGCTTAGGTTTCCCAGCTCTGGTCCAGAGCTGCTTGGAGGTTCTCAGAGAATCTTCAGGGTTTGGCTCAGAGGGTCGGCTCGGCAGGTTAGCTCTTCCTGAGCTTTCACGGAGGAGACAGGGGTTTCCTGGAAACACAGAGATAGTGGTTAGAATCCAACCTGGATTCAAAGTCATGGAGATACTCAAAGATCTAGGCTTTAGCGCTGACCAACTGGAACAACACTGCGGCGTTGAGGCAAGGTCTGAAGACAGCTTATGTAGTGGATCCTCTGATGATCTTGACGAGCTGCAGCTGTGCAGGAGGCTCCCTCAGAGGATCCACGGCGGACTCTGCTGGAGAAAGATGGGATTTCTCCAGCTCCCAACAGTGACACTTAAGTTGAATGAATTCAGTTCACACTGAAGATTACATATTTGGAAATGAGATCAACCACGCAAAAGAATCAGATTTCCTAAAAAAAAAATCAGAACTGTGCGTTAATGCCTGCAGTGTGAACGTAGCCTTAAACGTGTTCATCAAGACATGACAATGGCTGATGTTCCAGAAGTTCATTTAAAGCTGCTTAATTTATTCCAAAACCAGTTTAAATGTGAGTTTAGGATCGTCAATCCATTTAAATCCATTTTCCCCTTTTCTTTTGATAGAATATAGAGCCCGAAACATTAACTAGTTGGTTTCTGCTAAAAGGAGTGAGCAATGCAACCCTGAGGGACCAAGTATGGTAGAGATATAAAGGTATAGTTTAAAGAAGAGAAAATCACCTTAAAACGTTTTAGTTTTATTCAAATTAACCAAAGCTGTTTGCCTTTGGGTTCACTAAACATTTAGGTCCTGCTATCTTCATGGTTGATTGAATTTTTTACTGTTTTATTTTAACTTTAATCTTTAATTATCCTCCCATATTTGTTTGTTGTTCTTTGTGTGGCTCAGTGTCGATGTATCCCTTCTGCTCTGCTGCTTAACTCCCAGATTGTCTATAAGGTCAATAAAATGAGAAGAACTGCAAGAGGAACGTCTCACTGTCCTTTTTTAAAGCTAATTTGTTTTGACACTGCAAGGTGACAAGAACAATTGTTCTATTAACATGAGCTGTCAGGTCAGACCACCAACTGGGAAACAATAATAACCACCAATCTGCCAAAGCGCTGTATTATAGTAATATTAGGACTCTTGCTCCATTTGACTTAAGTTTGGTTTATTTACAAAGAATCAATTTACAACCACTTATTTCAAGACACTTTACCAGAAAATACAAACAGATCCTGTTCACATTACTGCAATCAAACCTTTATTATAGTGAGAAATAACAGATGAAGATAGAACGACAGGAAGCATACTTCAACAGAACCAGACCCAGTAGGGGATTTAATATAAATAAGTTTTAAAATAGAAACAAGTCCCAACAAATGTCATCTAAAGGCAATTAACATGACAATTTTAATACAGAAACATGTAACAGAAGTAAAAAAAAAAATAAAAACACAGAATCAAATCTAAACACAAACATCCGGTTAGATCCTATTTACAATATGGTAAAGATAAATTTAGTGTATCATGGCATTTACAGAATTCAATCCAAGGAAGCTCAGCCAATCACATCCAGTCGTCAATGTTGCTGCAGTGCCTCCTCCTGACAGTGGAGAGGAAAACCAGCTTCAAGCAGGAAGGAACCTCCAGTAGCTCCATGTCAGCGCCCATCTACTTTGGCTGAGCGGGTCTTTAACAGGACAGCAGACGTTTGACAGACACAGAGGCGCCGGTCCAAGGAGCAGATGACCTTATCTGGAAAAAAAGAACAAGAGTTAGTGAACGAACACGATAGTCTGTGAAATTTAAACACATAAACTATGGGAGAGGTGTAACTTTAACCAATAGAAGAGGGAAACACACAGGGAGAACCTAAAGTTAACAGAAGTGATAACTGTAAACAATGGATGCTTGGAGAAAATGCCTGAAAATGCTGCATTTGTTGGAGTCTACAGTCTATGGAAGTAAATCTGTGTTGCTGGGATTTGAATTAAAAATGCTACTGAAATTTAAATGTTGTATGTTTGTGCTTACTATTTCAGTGTTAGAATATATTCACAACACATTTTTGACCTAAAAAAAATCATTGTCATTATTTCTACACAGTTGAAATTTAATTTGTGATTTTCTCTTTAAGCTAAAAATTCACATTACTATTTCAAAGTGATTACATTTTCAATACTTATTTTTCAGTTTAATTTTTGAGTGTTAAAAAAATCTGCATATAGAAAATAAATTCGGCATTTAAATTCAGTGTAAAAAGGGAAGGGTTACTTCAGGTCACAGACATTAGCAATGGATTGTGGCGTCCAACACCCAGCCAATCCCCTTACGTTTTCTTGGTCACGTGACGTGACGCATGTGGCGCTCATGCGGTAAGGAAAACCAGCATGACCGAGCCGGTCATGCTAGATAACGCTACCTCACCGTTGAGTTAGCGTTAGCTTTCATGACCGGCTCCATGATGCTGGTTTACCTAAAGTATGAGCGCCACAAGCGTCACGTCACATGACCAAGAAAACGTAACGGGATTGGCTTCCCTTTTTACACTGAATTTAAACGCAGAATTTAAGATGGTGAAATAAAGGCCTGTTGAATCTCAGGAGGCTGAAAATATTGAGTTTGAACTTTGAAAGGTTGAATTTTTTTATATACAGATTTTTTTAACACTCAAAAATTTTACTGAAAAATAAGTATTGAAAATGTATTTACCTTGAAATAGTAATGTAAATATTGAGCTTCAAGAGAAAATAACAAATGAAATTTCAACTGTGTAGAAATAATGACAGAATTTTTTTAGGTCAAAAAGGGGTTCTGAATATATCTTAACACTGAAACAGTAAGTACAAACATACAACATTTAAATTTCAGTGGCATTTTTAATTCAAATCACAGCGACACAGAAGTACTTCCATACAGTCGGTCGTTTCTCTACTTTAATAGGTTTTAAAAAACTTCAGAGATCAACCAGGCCAAAATTCTCCCATATTGGATCAGAAGCTGCTTCTTAACTGTTTCTCTGTGGTTTAATGGAAAAGTCAGAACTTCTGGTTCTGATAAAGGTTTGGTTACAGAGATACAAATAGAGGTGAACATCAATTCATGATGGAAAGATGAAGATTAAATGTTAGACCACCTTGATGGGATGGTTGTAGCTTTTGTATCTGTTTGTTCTGGATCTGTTTTTAGTATCTTCACCAATACTGATGAACATCTGGAAGCAATAAAGGTTCATTACCTTCTTCTACTGGGTGTAGCAGACTGATGGTTTAGCTGCGAGGTCGTCAACGTTTTTTAGACTCCAGAATGTTGGAGAGACAAATAGAGGAGCCATGTTTCTCCTCCTTAGTGGACTGTGTGCTCCATCCTCTTCTTCAGCTCCTTCATAAATGAAAGCAAAGCATCCTCAGAGTCTTAACCTATCTGCATGGGATGTTTCTCTAGTCAAACCAACATACCTCCAAACATGTGTGGATGGATTCTGTTCCAATGTGATCCAACTGCTAGAACACTGCTAGCTGTTTAACCTGCTTTCCCTGTAAAAAATAAGACAAATTAATCTACAGAATTTCCTCGACACCAAGTTGAAATCTGGGGCAGGATGTTGTTTTCATCATAATCTTAGTCTTTCTGTGTTTCAATGACTGTTATCTTTTAATCAGGCCTGGGAAGCTTGAGTTGTGGGTTTGTCGTGTTAATAAAGTCCTACTCCGTGTGTTTTCTGTTCCAGTCTTTCTCTGTGCCGTCCTCAGGTGGGGACTGGGAAGCTCCTCACCATCCTGGATGTCCCGGTTCCTCACAGGAGTTCTGCTTTTGGACGTCCACAGTGTCTGAACATACATGAAAAACTAAGTGAGGCCACCTGAAATGTTAACTATATATTTAAAAGATGGATTATTGTTGCTCCTTACTGAACATGCTCTCACTCTTTGTGAAGGTCAGCAGCCCAGACGATCCTCCTCTGGTTTGGTCGCTGCAGATCTCATCAGCATCTTCTGATGGCCCAAAGCTTGTAGCGGCTCGGTCCAACATGGGATTCAAAAAACACGGAAGAGATCCACTGCGGTCAGGACAGGCCTAGATTATATGGAGAATATTTCTGCAGAGGGTTCTTTTCCCTCTAACTAGGCCTGAAAACTAACTAACCAGAGGAACATCTAGAACTAGACCAAGTCACATCGGAAAGCCGTTTCTAACAGTCGGTGCTTCTCATAACTCAAATCCTCACATCAGTCCTGTCCTCTGCCTCTAACTGGTCTAAATCAATTAGTCCCACCAAGCGTCATCTCTCTACCTTCTCACCAACATCCCAGAGACCAGTTCAACTGATGATCACCACAAGCTGTGTCTCTGTTCCATTCTTTCCAGTTTTTCTCCTTTAGGGTTTAAGTTTGACCTCCTCCGTTGTCCTCAGCAGCGATGTCCAGCTGTTTCGTTGAATTGGTTTGCCTCCTTGTGGTTGATCTTTTAACCAGGATTTAATTTCTGTTTTCACACCTCATCTCCTCAGATGTCTGTGCTAACGGAAATTCTTAACATCTAAAACGTACATCAAAATCTAGCAGCGGGGTAAAGAAAAGCCAGGGTGCAAGACGCTACCTAAGGCATCCCTAGACCTGCCAGACTCCTTAGCATCTAAAAAAATAAATCTAGCAGCAGGGTAAAGAAAAGCCAGGGTGCAAGACGCTACCTAAGGCATCCCTAGACCTGCCAGATATAAAAACGATCTATAAATGATATCTAGGTGTGACTGTTTCCAGTCCTTCAGCCTTCCCACCTCCAAAAGTCACCAAATCAGCAATAAAATAGATAGTTGAAGGCGTTAAAGGAAGGTTCTTGAAATCCCTCTTCTCAAACATGCCTCTCGCCACAAGGCCTCTTCCCAGGGGGCTCCTCTTCATCATCTTCCTCTCTTCTCCTTCTCCTGGAGGCACGGTCTACTTGGCAGTCCGGTAAATCCTCCGGCTCCTCCGGGTTCCAAGGGAGTCTCAAGGGGGGGGGGATCCTCAGGGTGAACCGAAGAAGAGGTCGAAGGTGGTCATTGTCTTCATCATCTTCCTCATCTTCGTCTCTTCTTCTTTTCCTAGAGGCACGGTCTTCTTGGCAGTCCGGGGAATCTTCATCGTCTTCTTCCTCAGAGCTTGTGGTGTCATATCCGGAGAACGCACTAGATACCTCAAGAAACTCACTAGAAACAGACCTATAATCCTCATCCTCATCCTCAAACTCATCCTCAGCCTTCTCGTCATCCTCGTCCTCAACCTCATCCTCATCTTCTTCCTCAGACTCCTCCTCATCCTCGTCCCCAGACCTATCATCCTCAGCCTCATCCTCATCCTCAACCTCTTCCTCATCCTCGTCCTCAGCCTCATCCTCGTCCTCATCCTCAACCTCTTCCTCATCCTCGTCCTCAACCTCATCCTCTTCCTCATCCTTGTCCTCAGCCTCATCCTCATCCTCAGACCTATCATCCTCAGCCTCATCCTCGTCCTCATCCTCAACCTCTTCCTCAGCCTCCTCCTCATCCTCAACCTCATCCTCATCCTCTTCCTCATCCTCAACCTCTTCCTCATCCTCCTCCTCATCCTCAACCTCATCCTCAGCCTCATCCTCAACCTCGTCCTCAGCCTCATCCTCGTCCCCAGACCTATCATCCTCAGCCTCCTCCTCATCCTCAACCTCATCCTCATCCTCTTCCTCATCCTCAACCTCTTCCTCATCCTCCTCCTCATCCTCAACCTCATCCTCAGCCTCATCCTCAACCTCGTCCTCAGCCTCATCCTCGTCCCCAGACCTATCATCCTCAGCCTCATCCTCGTCCTCATCCTCAACCTCTTCCTCATCCTCAACCTCTTCCTCAGCCTCCTCCTCATCCTCAACCTCGTCCTCAGCCTCCTCCTCATCCTCTTCCTCGTCCTCAGCCTCGTCCTCAGCCTCAACCTCTTCCTCATCCTCAACCTCTTCCTCAGCCTCCTCCTCATCCTCAACCTCGTCCTCAGCCTCCCCCTCATCCTCTTCCTCGTCCTCAGCCTCGTCCTCAGCCTCAACCTCTTCCTCATCCTCAACCTCTTCCTCAGCCTCCTCCTCATCCTCTTCCTCGTCCTCAGCCTCGTCCTCAGCCTCAACCTCTTCCTCATCCTCAACCTCTTCCTCAGCCTCCTCCTCATCCTCAACCTCGTCCTCAGCCTCTACCTCCACAAAATCCTGTATCTCCACCTCCTCATTCTCCTCCACCACTACTGCTTCAGCCTCTACCTCCTCCTCCTCATCATCAGAAGAACCTTCCTCCACCTCCTCAATGTGTAACTGTTCTCTCAATCTCCTCATCCTTCTCCTCAGTCCTCCCATGAGGTTATTAAAATTGAAATTAAAATTACCCAGTTCCTGAATCCAGAACGGGAGCTCCGGGTCAGGAAGGGCGGCGACTGGAACTGTGAGGGAAACAAATCATTAGACCAGGAACGTTAATAAAGGAACATTAAATAAAAAATGAAATGCTTTATTTTAGGTTGCTGGATGTGCCTGTGTGAGTTTGTCAGGTTAAATTAGATTTAATCAATAAGAACATTGATCTGTGAGCTAAAATAACCCAATAAAAAACATATTAAGAATGTTAGTGGTTTGGTTAGTTTTAAAAATAAAAATGGACATCGTTGTAAAAGACACAATAATACAAAAATTAATACACACAGAAATATTTAAAAATATGTATATATGTGCGTATACGATTGTGTGCTCCTGTCTCAGTACATTTCCCTATCTACTGTTATTCATTTGTGGATTTCCACAGACAGACTCCTACCGTCTCTGTCTTGGGGCTCTGATTAGACTGCCCCACATGTGCATAGAATTTGCCAATCATGTACTATTGCTAGGTGAATTTAATAATTTAATGGCCAATCAGCATCTCAGAATTCTATGGTCTTGGGGCTCTGAAAATACTGCCCTTTAACAGGCTTCTGCACCCAATGCGCAGGTATGACGAATCCACCTCGTCACTTAAAACAACCTGTCTAACTTTGCATGCCACACACAAATTCCAGTTATACTGTGCTTAACGTAAGAGGACAAAATACACAACGACTAGCTGAAGCACAAAGTAGCGGACCTATTTTACTTTTAAAACACACATTAGCTCGTTCTGGTTACCAGATGCTGGAACGTTATTGTGGGTGCCAACAAATAATTTTAAGGACGGCGGATTTGCAAGAAGAAAATATTGTAGATAAGTGAATATAAAAAATAAGAAAAGTGTGTGAGGGAAGGATGAGTAAGAAGGGGCGGAAGGGGGTGTTTGCTCGGGGGGAAGAGGAGGGGGGCACCAGTTAGTTGTACGGGTGGTTATAATGCTAACAGCCGGGACTTGTTCAATCTCTCAGTCTTGGCAAAGCATCTTTGCTGAGGTTCAAACCCAAAGGCAAAAATGTCGAGTATAGCGGTGAATGAAAACGCAAAAACAGTTGGTATGGAAAAGCAAAGGGGATTAAAAAAAATAAAAAAAGTTGACGTCTACCAAAACTACTTGACTCGCTACCTTGTTGTCAGATTATATTTTTTTTTATGTTTTTGTATTAAAAGTATGGTGGAATTGACATCAAGTCAATGAATATGTTGTAAAGGGAATAAGTTGTAAAAAATAAACTAAAAATATTATATTTTGTTATTAGTATATCAATTGAAGTGTGAGATATAAACGGTAATATATGGGACAAACTGATTTTCATGAGAAGAAATCAGAAATAAGAGAGCTGAGAGTGAAGGGGAAACTTAAAACTATTTAATGAGGAGCTAAAGTGGGAAGAAGAGCGGCCGTTCTATTTATCTGTATTCTTTGATTACATTGCTATGGGTAAAAGAAGAGGGAACGGCTGCAGGCCAAGAGATGATCCTTGTATATGTTTAGTTTCATTTTGCCACCCTTGTTTTGAAGTTTCCCCCCCCCCCCCCCCCCCCCCCCCCCCCCCCCCCCCCCCCCCCCCCCCCCCCCCCCCCCCCCCCCCCCCCCCCTCTCCACCAAAACCACCCCCCAAACCCACCCCCCCTGCACAATAAACCACAACACCAAAGGTAAACCAGATCATGAACCTGGATTCTTGGAGGGCCAATAAAAAGAACCCCGCTTCCAGTGACCCCAAATAATCACTGTTACTGTTAATAAAAAGTTAAATTAAATAATTACTGTTTAAAATGTATTTCATTCTCCAAATTGTTAACTTAATTTGATTCTTATTTATGGATTAGTTGAGGGACACTACACTAGGCTATTCATGCACCACTAAAAAATAATTTGTTTTTACTCAGCCCGACAAGAACTGAGGAGGATTTTAATACTTCTTCACCAGCACATTGAGTGAATAATACTTTCAAATCACACAGACTGACCTTTAAAATAAATTTTTTTTTTTTTAAATGTAAAGATTTATATATACTTTTTAGTATGTATTTTAGGAAAATTATTTTGCCTGAATATTATCCAATTAATGAAATGGTCCATATTATATAGATTTATTTCTAACACACCTTCCCTGCAATGAGAACTGAGCAAATCCCCCAGGAATTAGGGCTGGGTATTGTTCAAAATTTTCGGGACCGAAAACAACAATAAGGCATACAATACCCGATAACCTTCACTTTCAGATACCAGGGTTCCCTGAACGATACTTTTTTCAAGAATACCAGTTTATATAATATGCCAATTCGAAGAAAAAAGAAGAAATCAACAACAACATTATTAAAGTACAAATCTTGAGTTTTATTTTAAGCACTCTGATTTTTCCAATTTGTACATTTTTTCCTTACTACAATATTTTTTTTTTCAAGTGGAAATGAAGAACAGTTAGCAAACAAAGTCAAGTGTCATAATATGCACTGTTACATTGAGAGGACCTTTTTACTTAGCAGTTTTCTGTCATGTCTGACTTTCTCAGAGAAGACAAACATGCACGTGAATGGGATCCTATCGACCAAAACCAGGACACCAATAGAGTGGTTAATGTGGGAGCGATAAGCACATAACGAGCAAGGGATCTCAATACCGACAAGAAAATAATATTGGAAGGCAGGATGACGTAATCTCGGAATGAAACTGACTGCAAACGTGATTTAGTTTATCAGGTCGGATTTTTTCCCACTTAAAAAAACATAACTAAAACTACTTTTTTCCTAATGAATTCACAAGCAAAAATCTAGCTGCAGAAGGCAAATAAAAAAAAAAGGAATAGGAACAGTAGCTCCCGCCCAAGGCGCTGTATGCTAGAGGGCCAACCTTTCGTTCGACCGTGCAGACCAGAGCTGCTCAAAACTGTTTCCAGCCGCGCAAAGTCAGGAACAGCTAGAGACAAAGACAGGCAAAAAGGAAAAAAGAAGTAGATGCGATATTGCTGCTCTTGCTGCGCTAACCAAAAGAGGTTAGAAAGCAGCATGATTCAACTTCCTCGCCTCATGGTTAGCTCTGCCGTCAATGGGATGTTTCAAG